ATTGATCGCCGGGCCGCGGGGGTGGGGGAGCTGCCGCCAGGACCAACCACCTTGCGCCCAACTCCCCCAGCCCCGGCTTCCTCTTCGGCCCTGCCCCGCCGGCTGCGCTCGCCGGGCTCCGCCGCCCCTCCTCAGCCCGGGAGGCGGCTGAGCTCCCCCCCACGCGGCCCAGATAGACTCTCCCCACTCGGCGGCTGCAGCGCTGGACCAGCCCATGGGGAGAGGCGGGCGTCAGCCGGGCCCCGCCCCCAGCCCCGCCCCTTCCCGCGCGATCACAGGCGCGTACTGGCGGAGTGGGCGGCCACGTGCCGGCGCCGCGTCCCCACCTTTGTTGTCCCGGGACCCTCCTGCGGGCTCGGAGCCGGTGCGGTTCGTGCGGGTTTCTTTTCTTGGCTAACCTGGTAACAAACAAACAACGACAAAAAAGTCAATGTCAACAGCCGGTCCCCATCCAGCGCCTGTCACTGCCGACCCACTGGCGCGGCCCGCAGTGTGTGGGGCAGGGGGTGGGCGTGTGGGACCCCAAGCAGCCTCTGGCAGGCTGGGGGCTCTGACAACCTCCGAGGGAAAAGTCACGTTTTTCTCTGCTAAAAAATGGACTCTCCTTTAAGTTCGTCACGCTGTTGTTGTAGGTTCTTGCGACCTACTTTTGGGTCATGACACATGGGTTGAGAGAGGCCGCTCCAGAGGCATCGCTGCCGATACCCCTCCAGGCTCTCGAGATGACGAGCACGTTTCACATCTGTCGAGGACAGGGGGGTTGACGACTGCTTCGTTGCCGGCGGAGTCCAGCAGTGGCAGTGACTCCTTAGGCAGGATCCCACGCACGTGGGCAGGAGCTCGAACCCGCTTTCAGACGGTCCCCTGCAAACCGGCGGGAAGTGGACGCCTGACCTCACCCCTCTCCTCAAAGTGTCATATGTCAGCCATGGCATTCCCCTGTGTGCTGCTGGCTGCTGAATTGGTGTGCCTTAACCGTGTTACTCCACGGGCCTCTTGGCTCCTGGCAGGCCAGAATAGATCATACCGATGATGATCTTCGGATGAGGAACTACTTCATTGTAAAAACTGGAGGGTGAGAGCAAGATCCAACCAAAGATGTAGATGTCTACATATCAAGCTGCAAAGGGTGTTGCCCCCAGTCAGGTGCCTCGGGTTACAGTGCCCGCGGGGTATGGGCAGTAGGTGGAGAGTTGCAAGGTACTGATTAGTAGAAAACACCAAGCAGAGAGATGCCTCTGCAGAGCCAAGGCACACAAGTCCAAGCTAAGGGAAAGGTTGGAGTCATGCCAAGGGAAAGGTTGGGAAGCACTGGCCTAGGACATGAGAGATCTGGATTCTAGGCTTTCCTTAGGTTTCAAACCCATTTTTCTCATCTCCCAGGATTCACCTCCCAACCTGTTAAAGCTGGCCCACTGGGCAGCCAAGAAATGAAAGTGTTATGGGGCCTCTCCCCAGCATAAAAAAAGGTTTGAGTAGTTAAGACACTTACCTAGGAAGGGAAAGTCTTAGATTTTAATTTCTGTTCCTAGGAGTATTTCTGTTTTTTATCCAATGACTGTTTAATGTAAGACTGATGCAGGTGCCCCAGCAACCCCAAAATCAAAAGCCAAAGATATTGTGCTACATGCATTTCCCACAACTCACTAGTGTCTTGCTTTACAGATTCGGCTCTCTATTTGAATCTCAACAATTTATGGACACTGGCTCTTTTTTTCTGTGCTGGCTATTCAAATTGAATCCACTTTGGCTTACACTGCCCACCATGTTTTTGCTATACAGCCAGATTTTACATTTGCTTAAAGTTTATAGTAATAAAAAAGGAAATACAACAAAATAGCAAAGCTCTAAAGAGTTTGTTAATAGTACTCCGCACAAGCTTTTTACTTGGCTCACCACTTGCTGGAATTGCAAGTTGTTAGGATCAAACGTGCGATGTCCAATTTGATTCCAGCAGGCAGCAGACACTGTAATGTGTGACCTGCAGGCCTCAATTCAGCAAAGCACTGAAATACTTGCTCAACTCCTTTTGGCTTCAATGAAACATGATGAGTATGTTTAAAATTAAAACATGTAAAAATGGCTGAATTGGGACCTCAGGTTCCTTATCTATAATATGTGGATAGTAATTTCCAATTCACAGCGGTATTATGACAGTTAATTATTATAAGCCAGTTTTTGGTACCCTGGCATATTATTACTTCAAAATCACTTCACTCTGAGTGTTTTCACTAAAGGAAACTACGTGCAACTAAGGTACTGCTCAGCATAAATTATGGACAACAGAATCTGGTTGCTACTGTTTTCGTTAGGTGCATTGGATAAAAGTTCTAAATATTATTCCTTTATTGTAAAATTTCATTAGACTGTTGAATTAAATGAACAATAATTGCAGATACACGGAACATGTTAAACGAATGCTAGTTTTATCCAGAAATGAATAAGATTAACTGGATATAGCGGTCTGATTTTTTTAAATATGCACAAGTGACTCAGTACAAGACACAGCACACACAATATGCAACATCAAGGAAGTTATAGCAAAGGGAGAATTTTTTAGAATTATCTGTAAATACTGACAGCCCAATTTTGCCATCCTTACCCACACTGAGAAAGCCCTTACTCTGTGTCGAGCAGGGGCGGGCAATTATTTCGGGTGGAGGGCCACTTTCCCAGTTTTGGCAAGCTGTCAAGGGCTGTGTGAGTAGCCCCACCCCTTGACAGGTGCCCCACCCCCTCATCACTATCTTGTGACTGTAAGTCCCACCCCCTAACCCTTGACCTTTGCCACCAGAAGTCCCACCTCTTGCTCCCTAGAAATACTCTTTCAGCAAGGGGTTTTGCATCTTGGAACCAGAAAAATGCCAAATTATATTCTGAAAAGCAAACATCTACAACATTCATTACTTTGATTTTAAAAAAATATTGGTTTACATAAGGGCTGTGCAGAGCAGGTAATATTCAATTCAACAGCCATGTGGAATATAAAACTGGGTCCCGCTTCGATTTGCTGTCCACTTCGGGTTGAAGCAGGTGCACTTTGACTTGAGGTCGAAGCTCAGTCGAATATTCGAGCTGCTTCGACTTCCCCATAGGCTATAATGGGGAAGGTTGAAGCAGGCTGTAACTTTGGCATTTCTTGTCTGATCTTGATGAAACTTCCAGGAATGGTAGCTCCTGTGGCGCCCACAAAGCATGCCAAGTTTCAACAAGATAGGTTCAGGGGGTGCAGAGAAACTGCACCCCAAATTCTTGAGAGCAAACCACCTGTAACTTCTATGTGCAAAGCCACAGGGAGCTCAAACGTGCAGGAATGGCAGCTCCTGAGGAGCCCACAAAGCCTGCCAATGTTCAACAAGATAGGTTCAGGGGGTTCGGAGAAACAGCACCCCAAATTCATGAAAGAAAACCTCCTGTGACTTCTGTGTGGAAAGCCACAGAGAGCTCCAAACTGCCGGCTTGCTAGCCCCTGAGGAGCCCACCAAGCCTGCCAGCTTTCATGGTGATAGGTGTAGGGGTCTGGGGGAAACTGCACCTTAGGGTGCTGGCAGACAAAACTCATGCTCCAGATGCAGCGAGGAGGGCGGCGTTCGCTCCGTCTGCACCTGGCGCATGGGGACCCCAGCAGCGGGAGCTTCACCTTGAGGAACACCAGCTGCTCCCCC